TGTAACTTTGTTCGCAATGGGTGCACACAAGTAAGTAGGAAAGCCATTAGAAGGTCATTTGTTTTGGCGCATTTAGTCCACTATGATATTTGTGACTAGATATGTGTAAGGGTATGATAGCTAAGCCTCAATCTCGACACATTTATAGATTACGATACGCATCTGAGTCAAGACTATTTGATCTCCTATAAGTCAAAAGTTTTGAGATGATTTTTGATATTGCACATATGAGGTTGAGATCAATTAGACAACAAATTTCGTGCTTTTAGTTTTGACCAAGGTGGCGAGTATCTATTTGAGTTATTTTTTAGAAAGCTCTGTGAAGAGAAATGGATGCTTAGAAAATTGATTATTCCTAGTACTCAACAACACAATGGTGTAGTAGAGATAATGAATTAAATATTGTTAATTTTAGGTGGATAATAGCGCAAAATGTTTTCCAATTGGGAATTGCACTAGTTTGTTGCCTATATCCCTAACTAGGTGCCCTCCATATCAGATTTTACACTCCATTTGAGTAATAGGTTAGCGGAGAGTCATCTATGGGTGATCTGTAACTGTTAAGCAGCTTATCTTTATTTTACTTCTCATAAGGTTGCGAAGTTAAGACCTAGGGTTCTATGGCGCATTATTGTATGCTGTCTTATAAACACATAGGGTCACGTGGCGCATTATTGTATGCTGTCATGTAAACCCTCCGGGTCATGTGCATATAGGTAAGCAGCTTTGTGGGAGTGTAACTAAGTCACATAAAGTTTTCTTAGTAAAGGTGACGTGAATAGAGTTTTCGAAACTCTATAAGATGGAGAATTCCAAGCATAGCGCTCTATGTAGCCTAGTTGAGAATGGAAAGAAATTTCCAATATCCTAGGGACAGTGGGAGCGATGTGCCTACTAATGGATTACTCCATTAGAGAAGAATACTCTACATTCTTAGTTGCGTGGTAGCGAATATAAAAATTTTCCACGTCATCACTGGGTAATTGAGAAGGAAACATTCATGAT